GTTTGTAGATGGCTCTTGCCTAAATCCGACATGTCCCCACACATGCCTTGGCGGTTGGGGGGTGGTTGGGGGGTGGTTGCAGCCCATCCGGAAGACCCTTCGAGTTGGTGGCCACTGGCCCAAGGCCTGGTCCCTGGCAGAAAGCAAACCAGTGTGAGGGCAGAGATCCTTGCAGCCACCTGTGCACTTCGATTCGCCGTTCGACTCGGCCACAAGACCAGAATATGGAGCGATAACGCCCAAGTGGTGAGAACACTGTGCACGGCCCTATATCGGAGACCATCCGTCCAAGCCCAACTGACCACGATCTTTGGAGCATCCTCGTGACAGTGGCCCACCTTGTCCAGCCGGGCACAGTGCACACAGTTGCTAGCCATCAGTGCAAAACCGGCCAGGATTGGGTTGAATGGTGGGCCTTCAAGGGCAATGATCAAGCAGATCATTGTGCACAATGGAGTACGCGAGCCACCCAAGATCTTGTGGCTAAATGGCAACAGGCCATCACTGACCTTGATGCGGCCAGAGTGCTCCGCGACCAGATACATCTGACCGTCGTGAAGGTCAGTGAAGCAGCCCTCATTCGAGATACGCCGCATCGATCCCAGTGATCCACCAGTCCTTGATGTTGCTTTGCCTCGGACGGAGGCTACCATGGTCCCTCTTCCAGCTCGGCCCCAAACGGACACACATAAGCTTGTTGGGAACGGGTGGGAGCGCCTGACAGAATGGAGCAACAGCCTTTTTTATCGACGAGACTGCAGAGGCTTTCTCGACCCGCAGCCAACCAACGTACAGTGGTGGAGAGGGTCAAATGGTTTCGTCTCTTGCTGCTGCGTGTCTACAAGCTTGAGAATAAGATGTTGACTTCCCAGTATGCCAGGCCATCGTCTCTTGTGTCCGCTTCTGGGCTCACTGTGTATGTCCCCGCTTCAGCCCAGCACGTTTCAAAGCTGTCGAAACCTACTTGCAAACATTCACAGCGGTGAGGACATCGAGAGTGTAGCGACTTAGGTCGTAGTTCGGTAACGGGTCACCTCCGCGAAAGCTGCGGTGCCTTCGTCTTACGGAGAAACGGAGAAATGGAGACCATTGCTATTTGGTTGGAGGCCATCCTTGGAAGGTCTAGAGATTTCTAGAGTCTAGAGTTTATTGAGTCGAAGGCGATCTCTAGTAGGTTGGAGGCCATTGCTGTTAGGTTGGAGGCCATCCTAGCAAGGTCTCGGGATGTCTTGAGTCTAGAGTTTATTGAGTTGAAGGCCATTGCTCTTGGGTTGGAGGCCATCCTAGGAAGGTCTAGAGATGTCTAGAGTCTAGAG